GATGAGAGAAGAATCGGGAAAGCTAAGCTAAGCTTAAGCTTCTGTAGACTCAAAGACGGCATCGTTTGGAGATGGGCTGAGATGGCATCATTTTGGCTTTATTGACCAATAGAACCACCATTCGCTAGCTGTGACTCATGCATAATGCCACAGTTGGGATTTTATCCAGCCAAAATAGTTTTTATTTGATAATTATTGAAATTGACTTGGTCTTTGATTGTTTGGTGCTTGTTTAGGTTTATTTTTTGGGTTGTTTCCCTTGCCAATGATGGCCATTTGCTTCTCCTTTGTCGACGAACACCAAAGTTTGCCCTGCTTAGATTGCCCTTGTCTTAAGCACGTGACCAATGTGTGCGATCCCTTCCAACGTGTAGCCGCTTTGCCATCACCACACTAGAGTTTGTTTTCTCCTTTTGTAGCCATCGGCGATTGAGAAGTGATTGTTGTTGGGGAGCGGGGGGCTGTGAGAGGGGTTTTGGTGGGGAGATGCTAGTGAGTTGAATGGTGGTGACAGGGTCAATTTCTAGTGCCGACATTCGGGCTGAGGCACTCAAAACTTTGATTTGCAATGCCCGACAATTAGAGGTTGATCTTTGGTGGGGGTATTTTCATCTTCACAATGAATATTATTGTATTTAATGGAAATTATGAACGGAATATAACATTTGGGTAGTAAAATTGTAATTTGAAATGTTTTTGATGAGAAAGTGTCATTAGACCATTATTTGGGTGGGAAAAGCCATTTCCCCTTTAAATAACATTGGTCCACCAAATATGGTTAATTAAAGTTTCAACGCTCCATTATTTCTGAGTACATAAATGGAATTAGTATTATTAATCAATCAAATATGGTTAATTAAAGTTGTAATCTGCATATGGTAGTAGTTAATTAAAGTTGTATCTAAATATGGGAGTAAAAAACAAATTATGATGTTCGTCCATTTAATGCACCATACCATATTTAATCCCAATTACTAAATATATCTTAGCCAAAAAATATAAAATCCAAATCTCATTCATTATCATCATATCTCACTATTTTAAGACAATTAATAAATATTATTTTGGTATTTACATAATTCAAATAAATCTTTGAATTGATTTTTTTTTTTTTAAATGGAGTTTTAAATTTATAATCAAGTATTTTAAACATAAAAATTTCATGTTTAACATAGTAGTGTCGAAATAATGAAATCAAAGTAGAGCCTAAATATATTAAGTTAAGATATTATTTTATACAATAATCTATAAATGATTATTGTGTATAGCTTAATTTATGCACGTAATTGTTGATGCGAATTTCCGTACCAACTAAATCGCTGAGACGTAAACACATGTCAACCAAAGATACTCAATTGACTCTTGGGAGAACCGGGTAAGATGGGTGCGTGATTCTTGGGAATCAGCGTAAGAGATGCGAATGATGGGAATGAGGTAGGAGTCGTGAGAGGATTGCATAAACAACAGAGAGAGACTGGGAGAAAGAAAAAAAGAAAGAAGATTAGTGGGAGATATAGAACAGAACTCTCTACACATTATGTATCAAAAAATCATTGTAATCATTCTCTTTAGAAAAAAAAAAAAAAAAAAGGATACAATGGACATAGGCTAATTTTTGTGTGGGAAAAATCTTTAGTTTGGACTGAGCAAAGAAGCCCAGATTAAGTAGAGGAGCCCAAGACGCCTCCTAGCATCGACTGAGCATCAAGCCCAGAAAGGAAGACTGTTCATTGAAGAAACGTGAGCACTCAACATGGAAGCGTGGACGAAAGGTGTGACAAGATAAAAAAAAAAAGGTCCACACTAGGAAAATATCTGTCCCCTTGGACAAATCAACTGACCACATATAAGTTGCATACTCCGACTGAACGACACATGGCCATACAAGCTTCATGTGCTCTCCATGCAGCCCAGCCAAGAGGATACCTGTAAAGACACCAACTGTCAGAGGGGGATTGAGGGGGAAAAAGGAAAAAAAAGGGACACAGAGAGAGAGATAGAGACAAAAAACACAGAGAAGAAAGCAAGAAAGCATCACTCTCTCTCTAATCTCAGGCCTCAATGCGAACTAGAAGGATTTTTTCATCTCCAACAACACACAAAGAAATAATATATTAGTGGATGTATGCCTCATTCGCTTTCCCAACCGAACTACTTTAGAAACGTCTAGTTTTATAATCGTCTATTGGGAGGCACATCACCACCTTGAGCACCGCTGCATGCGACACGGGTACCTTACACAAATTCCCAAGAATCACGCATCCATCTTACTCAGTTCTCCCGGGAGTCGACCGAGTATCTCTGGTTGGCACGTGTTTATGTCTCGATGATTTAGTCAATACAAAAATTCGCATCAACAATAATTAACTTTATTATAAGAATAGTAAGCGATGTAACACGTTCAAAATTTGTATACAAATTGGTTTCTATAATTTGATATAGCATTTTCGTTTTATTGGACATATTGTTCATTTGAGTTGTAGACTTAGGGGTGAGCACGAGTAGCGGGTAGAACCGAAACCAGCACTATGCGAGTAGGTTCTGGTTCCATTTTATTGGAACTGACACTGTGCGGTTCCGGTTCCAGTTTTGGTTCTTATGTGTGGAGGAACCGGAATCGAAACTTGAAAAAAGAACCTAATACAGGTACCCGGTTTGGAACCTGCTTGGAACCTGTTGCGGGTACCCAATTTGGAACCTGTTTGGAACCGATTTTTGAAACCTGTTTTGAAACCTGTTTTGGAACCTAGGCTCCAATGAAATATTTGTGAATAATGGGGGCTTAATTATTTTACATATAAAAAATTTAAAATGGAAAAAGTTAAAATTTTAGAATAACCTAGTTAAATAAATATACAATGATACTTATTACATATAAACTACACCATATTAAAAACTTTAATATATTATAATATATTAATATTAAACTTTTGATTAATTAAGTGTATAATTGTAATTATGATCTAATTAAAAGAATCATTTTTGAATAAAATAGTATATTTGATTGAATAATAATATATTTAGTTGTTTACTTCAATTATCAAGTTCTAAGTATATCTATAGTAAATTAACAATTAATTAATTATATATGATAAATTGATAAACATTAATAAATTTAATTACTAGTTAAATATTATACTTAATCAATTATAACATTAAATTATAGTTAAATGATTACTTAATTAATTATAATTTTATAATATTACTTAATTGATTTATAGTATAATTAATTATAGCATTACATTAATTGATTACTACTTAATTAATTGACTTGTAATATTTAGTATATTACTTAATTAAATAATTAGAAATTTAATTAATTATAGCATTACATTATAGATTTATAGTATAATTAGTTAATTGCTTAATTAATTATAATATTTCATTACAAAAATTAGTACAATACTTAATTAAATGATTGACGATTTAATTAATTATAATATTATATTAAAGATTTATAATATGATTACTTAATTGATTATGACATTATATTATAAACATTAGTAATTATTAATTTACTACATAAACATTAGCACAATACTTAATTAAATGATTAGATATTTAATTAATTATAACAATACATTTTAAATTTACAGTACGATTACTTAATTAATTGTAACATTAATTAAATGATTACTTAATTAATTATAACATTTTATTATAAACAAATTAGTTATAATATTATATTAAAGATTTATAGTATGATTACTTAATTCATTGTAACATTTCATTATAGTATGATTACATAATTAATTATAACATTACATAATTAGATGATTATTTAATTGATTATGACATTATATTATAAACATTAATTATAATATTACATTATAAACAAATGATTACTTCATTAAATGATTAGAAATTTAATTAATTAAGCATTACATTATAATTAAATTATAATATTATTACATTACATTATATTATATTATGATTACTTAATTAATTATAGCATTACATAGTTAAATGATTACTTAATTAGTTATAAATTTATAACATTACATTATAAATATTAGTAATTTACTACATTATTACATTACTTAATTAAATGATTAAAAATTTAATTAATTATAATATTACATTAAAGATTTATAGTATGGTTACTTAATTCACTATAACATTACATTATAGTATGATCACATAATTAATTATAACATTACATAAGTAAATAATTACTTAATTGATTATGACATTATATTATAAACATTAGTAATTGCTAATTTACTATATAAACATTAGTACAATACTTAATTAAATGATTAGAAATTTAATTAATTAAATAATTAAAAATTTAATTAATTATAACATTGTATTATAAATTTATAGTACGATTACTTAATTAATTGTAACATTACATTATAATTAAATGATTACCTAATTATTTATAGTATGATTACTTGAAAAGATATAGAAATGAAGAGAACAATCTAGAAAGAGAAAATGCAGAAAAAACAGAGCAAGAAACGTGTGAGTTCGACAGAAAGGAATCTGTTATTTTTCACTTTCTAACTAACTGATTTACAAAGAGGAGAAAGGTTGTCTTTTATACATGCAGCTATCAGTAAACACAACATTTTATAACATTTCTAAAAACGCTGTGTATTAGTTACACTTAAGCCTTACAAATATTGAAACCCAAAACTACTCAAAACCGAGAGCCTACATTCTCTTCTTCTTCTTTTATCAACATCTTCCCTTAAACTGAACACCTTGTTGATTCTCCATACTCTTCAATATCACCCCTTAAACTGAGCACCCTTATGATTCTCCATCATTCTCAATATCACCCCATAAATTGAACACCTTTTTTATTCTCCATCCTTCTTGATATCATCCCGTGAGCTAAACTTATGTTGTTGACTTCCAGTTCTATGTTGAGAGTGTTGATTTTGCTCAGTTATTAGATGTAAATCATTTAGGGATGAGACTACATTTAGCTTGTGTCTAAGTAGCTCAAATCGAGAACCAGAGAGAGGCTTTGTAAGAACATCAGCAATCTGTTACTCAGACGCAACATACTGTACACACAACTTTCTTTCAGCTGCTAATTCTCGTACATAATGATCATCTATCTCAATGTATTTGGTTCTAGCATGGAATGCAAGGTTTGAAGATAGAGCTCCTACACTCATATTATCACACCAGAGTACAAGAGTTCTATTTATTTGTAAGTCAAGTTCTTTGAAGAGATTCTGAACCCACACCAATTCTGTAGCAGCCTAACTCAGAGCTCTATACTCTGCTTCTGTGGAGGACAAGGCCACTGCTCTTTGCTTCCCAGAACACCATTGCACCAGGTTACCACCTAGAAAAATTCTATAACCAGAAGTTGATCTTCGGTCACCTATGTCACTCGCCCAGTCAGCATTTGCATATCCTTCTAACAGAAAATTTTGATTTTTCCGAAAGATCAATCCATGCTTACTTATGCCTTTAATATACCTTAGAACCCTTTTGCATGCTATCCAATGAGCAATGGTAGAATATTGTAAGAACTGACTTAATCTATTCATGGCAAAAGACAAGTCAGGTCTTGAGTGAGTAAGGTACTGCACACCCCTTACAATGCTCCTGTATAATGTTGGTTGATCAAACAAGTTACTATCTTCTTTACTTAACTTGGTACCTAAGGCCATCGGAGTTTGACATGGTTTACAATCTGCCATTCCAGCTTTGACTAACAAATCATGAGCATATTTTGACTGAGTAAGAAACAGACCTGAGTGATCTCTTTGTACCTCAAAGCGAAGAAAATAATTCAGGGCACCAAGAGTTTTTAAGGCAAACTTTTGATTTAAGTCTTCCACAATTTGAGTGATTAGTGAAGAATCTGTCCCCGTAATTAGTATATTATCTACATATATTAAAAGGTAGATGATTTGAGACCCTTATTTCAAATAAAACAAGCTTGTATTTGATTTAGAGCTGACAAAACCTCAATCAAGCAAAGAGTGCTTCAGTTTGTGGAACCATGCCCTGGGGGCTTGTTTTAAACCATACAAAGCTTTGTTAAGCTTACAAACATGATGAGGAAGCTTGGAGTCAGTAAAACCTTCAGGCTACTTCATGAAGATTGATTCTGTCAATTCACCATTGAGAAAGGCATTATTAATGTTAATCTGTTGAATATCCCATTGATTATGTACTACAAGAGACAAAATAATCCTTATTGTGGCAGACTTGATAACAGGGGAAAAAGTATCAAAGTAGTCAAGTCCAGGAGTTTGTTGGAACCCTTTAGCCACTAGTCTAGCTTTGTATTTTTGTAAGGTTCCATTAGGCTTCAACTTTGTCTTAAACACCCATTACACCCTACTATATTCATATTTGATGTATAAGGTACTAAAGACCACGTTTCATTCTTCATCAAGGCTTTAAACTCATCTTCCATTGCAAACTTCCATTCGGGTATGATCAGTGCTTTAGCGGCAGTTTTTGGCTCATTAAGGATACTTTGAGTGGCTATGAAAGCATGTCCTACAGAGGTTAAGTTTAAGCTTTTTGATCTTGTAATCATAGGGTGTTGGTTCAAGATTGGTTGAAGCCGAGAGATAGGAAAGACTACCTCCAATTGTATACCAAGACAAGCATTTGAATTTTGAACCTCTTGAAGCTCGTTATATGCAGAACCTGACCTCTAAACTCTATGTTGATCATTAACAGATTCATCTAGAACCTCATGAGCAGTTGAAGCTAGAGTATTAATAGGTTCATCTGGAGCTGGAATATTTGTATGTGTCCCCACTGTGTTGGTTGTAAAATCTGCATCAACAATTCCATCAAGATTCTTAGAAGTAGAGTCTGTTATCTGAACTCTATGCTGCCCTTGTTTGGAGTGTAATTCATCAGCTATTAACACATTATCAAAGTCACATTCTAATATGAAAGCACCACCAGGAATATAGCTATCTTTATCCGAGCTGTTAACAATGTAGTGAGCAAGGCTCTAGGATGTGTCAGTACACGCATTTTCTATACTTTTGAAGGCCGAATCTGCAGTATCAGTGTCTTTGAACAAGAAGCATTTAAAACCTTCTTTGAAGGGAAACACAATCTCATTAAACTTAGCTTGTCTAACAATGTAAATTTTTTTCTAAAGAAGATAGGCATTTGTAACCTTTATGAGAATTGCTATATCCTATGAAGACATATTTTTCAGTGTGATAGGAGAACTTATGCTTATGATATGGACGGATGAAAGGATAACAATAACATCCAAAGACCTTTAACTCAGTGTACAAAGGTTCTTGATTTAGTAATTTCTGGAATGGGGACATGTGTGCAAGAGGAGCTAACGCCAGCCTGTTAATCAAGTAGGTTGCTGTTATAAAAGCTTGTCACCACAAACAAAGAGGCATACCTGCATATGATAACAAGGTTAAACCAAATTCTGTGATGATCCTATGCCTTCTTTCTATTCTCCCATTTTGTTGGTATAGATAGGGGTAAGGATGTCTAAAGGCTATACCATGTGTTTGTAGATATTGAGTAAAGGGCCTGAATTCACCTTCCTAATCAGTTTGTAAGCACTTTAGTTTAGCACCTAGTTGTTTCTTAGCAAAGACATGGAACTGAGTAAAATTTTTAAGAGTTTCAAATTTAACTTTGAGAGGATAAATCCACATATATCGGCTATAGTCATCTACAAACAACATATAATATCTATATCCCTCAGATGAACATATTGGAGTAGGCCCCCATAGATCTGAATATACTAGTTCAAGAGCACAATGAGTTTAAAAATCAGAAACAGGAAAAATAGCTTGATGCATCTTCCCAAATTGACAGGCCTCACAAAAAGTTTTATTACCAATAGAGTCATTTACATGGACTTTATTCAACACAAATCTCAAAGTTTTCTCATGTAGATGTCCTAGCCTGGCATGCCAAAGATTTGCAAGATTTTCAGACTGAGTAGCATTGCTAATATTGTTGCTGCTGGACCTGCTAGAATTTCTAGGTTGAAGGGTACTGCTAACCTTGCTACTGTTGGACACGCTTGAGCTAGGATTATTCTCCTCTACTGAATTATTATTAGACACATCAAAGGGTAATGTGATGCTATTCTTGGAGTGATTATTAGTAGATTCAACAACATGACAGATTGCATGCTGCACTTTATTTCTAGATATGAGGGTAGATAACCTTGCAGATGGCAGAGAGGTTTGAAGCTGGTAGAGTCCATCTTTCAGATTACCTTCCATCAATATTTCCTTGGTAAGTTTATCCTTAATAAGACACTTGTCAGAATAGAACTCCACTATAACTCCATTATCTCTAGTTATTTGAGAGATATTCAATAAATTTTTGGCAATATGTGGTACACATAGCATGTTTTTAAGATACAAAACTCTATGTGCTGAGTTTGAAGTTAATAAGGACTCACCTGTATGTGTGACAGGGATATTCTGACCATTTCCTACTTGAACTGTTGAGCCTCCTGGATAGTTAGTCTTGAGGATCAGATTGCTTGGATCATTGGTGATATGATTTATGGCTCCTGAGTCCACATACCAAGTCTGATCAGCAACTATCTGAGGAGTAGCAACTGGACTAGTGGAGATTATATGAGTTCCCTCTGTAGGTGTGCTGCCTAAAGACATTCCAACTATGCTGCATTGATTTTGATTAGTATTAAAAGCATACTGCTGATTAACATTATTAGAGGAAGAGCCATTAGAGTAAGTAGCTTGAGCAAACTGTTGCTGTGTAGGATTGACAATAAACTGTTGATTTCCACCACTAGAACCTGAGCCAATTGAATTAGAGGGATGAGTCCAACCAGGATTAGTCTGCTGCATAAATTGTCCAAGTATCATTTGAGTCACCAGCATAGCCTGTGCTGCTTCATTTGTTTGGCCAGGATTATGTGTTTGTGATGTAACAGAGGTAGAGGATCCTTGAGGAGCAAAATTAAAGCCATTAAAGCCTTGGAATCCTTGAAAATCCTAATCAAATCTATGATAGCAATTGACTGCAGAGTGTCCTCGTTTGCCACAAACTTGACATATCAGTTTAGGTTTAAACTGAACCCTTCCTCTGCCTCGGCTACGCATCATATAAGGATTGAACATGTACATTCTAGGAGAGTTATGAGCAGCAAATGAACCATGAGAACTATTTGGAACATATTGTGAAGGGTAGCCAAAAAGAAAAGCTGGTCTAGGATTATTCCCAAACTGTACTAGATTACCAATAGACTGAGATAATTGAAGTATCAAATAACTTCCTAAAGATTCCATATTAGCACCTAGCCTAACTCCTTTGTTTTGTGAGACAGCATTAATATCGACATAACTATGGTCTGCAATTTGTTTAGAAACTAGAAGAGCCGAAGCTAGTTGATCATGCCAGTGATTATAAGCACTATGTTGCCTCTCCAATCTTATTTCATGTTTGTGTAACAAGAACTGAGCCTTTTGTATATAGATAATGCTACTATTAGAGGTGAGATTTGCAACAACAACATCATACTCCTCTCCCAAACCATCTAATATATATAGCAACAGTTCCTCATCACTCAGACTTACACCACTAGCATTCAACTCATCTCCTAGTTCTTTCATCTTTAGCACATATTCACTAATACTACATGAATCCTTCTTAGTTGTCTGTAGTAAGTTTCTTAAGTGTAGTGTTCTAGCCTTATCTACTGATTAGAAATGCAACTTTAAAACACTCCAAATTTCATAGGCTGTGCTACACTTAGCAACATGTCTAAACATAGATTCAGAAATCTTTGAAAGAAGCTAGCTTACTAAAAACTGATCAACCTTTTTCCAATTGAAAAAGTTAGGGTTTGATTTCTTTACCTTCTCTCATGTTTCTTCAGATGTAACAATTAAGAACATTGGTGGACATACTTTTTCTCCAGTAACGAAGACATCCAATCCATGTGAGCTCAAGGTTGGCAAGATTTGAGATTTCTAGAAAGTGTAGTTTCTTTCTTGAAGTTTCACGGAGAGCGAAGGTAAGGTAGGTAATGTGCTTGGACTTGTAACAACAGCTAGTCCAGTTTCCATATTTTTTCCTTCGTTTAAAGAGAAAAAAAAAATTGCAGAAAAGTTTGAGCAAAAGATCAACCTTAGATTTTAGCCTAGGGCTCTGATACTATGAAAAGATACAGAAATGAAGAGAACAATCTAGAAAGAGAAAATGCAGAAAAAACAGAGCAAGAAACGTGTGAGTTCTGCAGAAAGGAATCTGTTCTTTTTCACTTTCTAACTAACTGATTTACAAAGAGGAGAAAGGCTGTCTTTTATACATACAGCCATCAGTAAACGCAACATTTTATAACATTTCTAAAAACGCTGCGTATTAGTTACACTTAAGCCTTACAAATATTGAAACCCAAAACTACTCAAAACCGAGAGCCTATATTCTTCTTCTTCTTCTTTTATCAACATCTTCCCTTAAACTGAACACCTTGTTGATTCTCCATTCTCTTCAATATTACTTAATTCATTATAGTATGATTACATAATTAATTATAACATTACATAATTACATGATTATTTAATTGAATATGACATTATATTATAAATATTAATTATAACATTACATTATAAACAAATGATTACTTAATTAAATGATTAGAAATTTAATTAATTAAGCATTATATTATAATTAAATAATT